TTCAAAAATTTCATTGTGTGTCATTTTTAGCGACACTCATCAATCTCATCAACTGTCTTAGTAGCATTTATTTTTAGGAAGGCCGATATCGTCCATCAATATAGCATTATTCATCACGCTATTACCTGTATCGTGGATTTTGCCAGTGAATATAGCTATGTCGTCTGTATAGACTTTCATCTTCTTTTAAAGAAGAGATTCCAATCATAAATTTTTTCAGTAGTATTGAGTTCCTGTTTAGGTTAATCTGAGCAATCCGGCTTGTTTCCTTTCTGTATTAATCTTCTTGCAGCTCAGTCGAGCTTTTGTTCATGTCATGATGTTGGGCTCTATCCAAAATTAAATGCTCCGCATATGGCAAAAAAGTCTCCTAGAACATGGTCCATATGCTCTACAGCTCCATTCATATTTAAGGTTAGCGTGTGGACTACAGTCTCAGTGAATTTACTCTTCAGTTGGGTTAACGGATTGCTTGTCTCTCATAAAGGCATCTAGAAGCTTATCTTCAAAAGGAATGAGACTTATTTGTCTGCATACTTTCAAATTAAGGGGACTCCTTTTTCCCGTCATCGGCATACTTAGGGTTCTTTTGGCAGTTTTAATATTAGACTCTTGTTTCCAAAACCAACGTGTAGTATATTTTGTAGAAACTGAACAGAGATGAAAAATAAAAGAAGAAATAACTATTGAGACGAGAGATTGAGATTACAATTTGAAAATATGTTATTGCGCTAGTCTTGTTACTTAACTGTCACACCTAGTAAGTATAATTGCTTAATTTCAAATTTTGGAAACTAAAAAATTAAAAATTATGCTTAGCAATTATTCAACGACATATTTAGTTTTCATGTCAACTCACTAACTATGTGAAAAATTAGTTCGTTGTTGTAAGACAACTTCCCCCTTTATACCTCACTCTCCTTCTCTGGCATTTAAGCAACTGCGGTGTCTGCACTCAACAACTCTAGTTCCACAAAACGTGAGCATCTCCGTCGAAACCTATTATAAATTACCGTCAGTTAAATGTCGGCGGCTATTCGCTGAGGCCAAATATCTCATTGACACGTTCCCAAGCAGCTAATTGTTGCACGAAATGTGATGCCAAGCAAAGGTAGGCATGTATGTGTTAAGCTTGGCTTGAACTTGCAAGCGCTGTAATTTCTTAGACACCTTCAATACAAATAGCATACACCCTTTGCGTTAGCAGGCTGGCAGATGGCTGTTTACAAGTTTCTTGTCTAATTACCAACATTATATACATACACAAGTACAAAGATTTGATATATGATTTCCTGCAAGATAGCAATAAGGTTACTTCACTTCTCTTCTTATTGATCTACATTTTAATCTCAAGCTAGAGTTGCACTGTAGCTTGAAGCCTTGTACCCACTACATATACAGTTACGAGAAATGAAATAGCAGTTGGTAGCAACACTTTCATATTTTTCAATCGTTAACAATTTTAACTGGATCACCCCCGTAGAGATACTTTTTTTCAATAGCATTTTTTTCACAGATCACGCATGAGTTGTGTTAAGGTGTCATCTTATTTTTATTCAGTATTGTTTGGTATTTCATCATGAGAAGACTTACGCAGAACAACGTTTACAAATCGTTAAACTTTATGACGAAAGTTCATGTTCTGTAAAGAATGTATTTCGCGCGCTTCGCTCAACTTATGGTCAACATAATCGGCCAACCGAGCATACTATTCGCAACACCGTCATCTATCTTGAGTCCCATCTTTCGTTATTGGATAATATTCCAATATCCCAAGAAGCTCAAGGTTACCTTTAGCTGAATGGAATCTCAAGCTACTGCTTATGAATAGTACAATTACAAGTGGTGCACCGACACTGGAGGCGCAGAACCGTTAACCAAACCAAACTCTTCATACAAAAGAACTTGGGAAGTTTTCTGAGCATATTTCAAGCAGAAATATTATAAGTCGGTACGTAAAGATATACCTTCAACGCTACTACTCGTTCACTTATAACCATACTAAGCGACAGTCAAGCGCCAGTTAAAGCAACCTCTACCTACGCGATGAAATCACTACTGGTGCAGTGTGGAGACAACGGCTGAGCAATCTATCGGTAAATAAACAAGTGCACCTTCTCTGGGTGCCTAGTTACAGAGGTATAGAGAAGATGAACTGGCTGATGTGCTCGCCCACTCCACTCCGCGGAACTTTTCATCGTGGTGGGTTCTCGTAACATAAAGGAGCTGTTCTGCAAGGAAAAAGAAGTAGGCTGGGAAGGTAATGGCAACAAGTCAAGGAATGTGCCATGCCATGTTATGAATAGGTGTTTGCAACCTCAGCAGCTTTAAATATGTAATCAACCTCCCTAGGGACAAACTTGTCGTATTCTAGACTGTTCACCGTAAGCTCAAGAAGCACTTACATAACATGGCCTTGCTTCTTGTGGTAACTGCCGGTTCTGTGACAGGGAGCCTGAAAGTGCAGAACACTTGCTATTTAATTGCATAAAAGTCTGCAGACAAAGGTGCTTGGATCCATGTTTCCAAATTTCCAAATATCATTAGTATTACAAATTTCCAAATATCATTAGTATTACAGCAAAAGAGGGGATTCCAACTTGCGTGAACTTGTATGGCTTAATCCCAATTTTCTGCTAAATATCAATTTCAAAGTTTGACTGGAATTCAATTCTTCTTCTAAAACCCTCAATTCTTCCTCTAAACCGCAACAAAAGGAAAAAGGCTGATTCTAAGCCCTGACTTGAAAAAGTGTAATTCGAATTCACATTCCTCTTCTAACCCTTAACTTGAAAAAGAATGACGAAAAATTCCAAAATCAAAATATTCTCTTAATCGTCGCCATTTTTAGAAACCTCACATTTCAAAAGAGGAAGTATGCGTAACAAAAAACGGTTTATGCTTGAACTTGAAATTTTACGGCTTAGCAATTTGCAATGCAACATTAATACCACAATTGCACAAAAACAACACAAATGTCTAGCATTTATTAACACATGTTGAATGCGGAGAAGGAATAGTAATAACACGAGTAAACATTGAAAAGTTTTGGCTTGCTGCCAATGTGTCTAAACAATTAAAACTTGTACGCATTTGATCAACATGGATTAAAAGTGACGGTAATTAACAGTTGACAGCTTTAACATTATAATAGTTACAGTTATATGATGGATTACGTGGTCGGCAACTGATCGATTGAAGCTATCAGTTGATTATTTGTACGTTAATAGGCGTGTCGACCTCGCGTTGAAAATGCTTCACTCAAAATCATTTGTGTTATATTATTTTTATATACAGCTAAATCTATTCTAAAGGGTGATCTAAGTAGAGGTATTTTTTCAAACATTTTTTTTTTTTTTTGGCAAATCTCTTGAAGAGTTCCAAGAAGTTCCGACGTTTTCGAGTCAAATTTTGTTCAGCGATGAGGCCCATTGTAGGCTCAAAGGGATTTAAGCAAGCAAAATTGCCACATTTGGAACGAAGAGCAACCTGAAGAGATTCAAGAGTTATCATTTCATCCAGAAAAACCATCGGTTTGGTGCGATTTGTGGGCCGGTGGAAGCATCCATCCATCCATCTTTTTTCAAAAAATTATGCCGGTGACAATGAAACCAGCAATTACGACCATTATAGCGCCGAGATAACCGACTATTTGAACTGTCTGAAATTGCAGCTCGTGATCTGGGCGACATTTGGTTTCAACAAGACGGCGTTATTTCTTATTCATCGCTTCGAATAATTTTTCGTTTTACGCCAATCGATTGACATCCAGATAATGTAATAACACATTGTTGGATATATTCCTGAGGAGATATGTATGTAATGTCTAAAGTCTACACGTGCAATACTGCTTCGATTCAAGCCTTGGAGCAAAATATCACGCGTGTCATTCGCCAGTTACTAGTCGTAATGCTCGAAAGATTCATCGAAAATTAGACTCAATAGTTGGACCATCTTAGACCTAGCTGTGGCCAATATTTGAAAGAGATAATCTTCAACACCTAAATGTCATACGGTTTAGATCTTGGCGGCTTTTTAACTGGACCATTTCTCGAAACTAACGAGTAGCCAAACTTTGCACGCAATGCGTCCCTGTTTAAACGTAGGCAGCGCAATGGCTTGTTGGAAATAGAGGAGAGATAGATAACGGAATTCCTGAAAAAAAGTCGGTCAACAACGTTTTATAATGCTCGTTATTGCTGTTAACGGCATTTTCTGCCTCTTTTCGAAAGAGATTAAGTCCGATGATGCTAACGTACTATATTTGCCACCAAACTGTCAATTTTTGTGTATGAAAATGCATTTTCTGATTTCACTGACCACAATAGTCGCCATTTTGTTTGTTGACGAAGCCAACACGTTATTCCACTTGGTAGGCGCTTTATATCGGTTACTAAAAGAACGCCGAGCACTAAGTTAAGGTGAGAATATTTTGCTTGGCATATTATGATTATGTAAGTAGCAAAAATATACGATATCGCTTTACTTCTTAGTTCTTAGTTCTTATATCTGGCTTTTTGTTAAATTTTATAACGAACAAATCGGTTAGTGATTGTGTTGTGCTTATGGCTAAGTGGTTGTATATGTATGAGAGCATATAACTTATCAGATTGTGTTCCGGTACCAAAAGTGAGTGAAATAGGTCCAAAAATATTAAAAAACAAAAACTTTAACCAACAATAACATGATGAAAATTTTGAAGCCGACTTGGAACTAGCAAATTCTTACACACACACCTTTTTAAATACTTTTTATATACTAGTATTTAGCCATATATGGCATACTTATGTGTATATGTGTACGAAGGAAGGCTGACCTTCATATTTCACTCCAAAAAATGTGTATCAAAAAGCCAACTGCTATCTGCAGCACGCCAAACAGCTGCAATACGCTGCTATACTGAGCAACGTAGCAGCCGGTAGTGTTCGTATACTTATGTATATATATACATACATACTTACATATACTATATGTAGTTTCGTATCGGCAAGGACACTTACCTGCTGACGCGCTTGTGATGACGCCGTTTGATAATTTTACTGGTTTTGAAGGGTAGTAGCGACTTTACTTATATTTGTCGGTTTATAGCTTTATACAATACATATATGTATATGTATTTATCGCATGCGATTTTTTCAGTAATCAAACGAGGATGTGTGATATTTATTTCCGTAGATTTGCTTACAGCACTGCAATTGTCGTATATGCTCTTGATTTTATTATTATGCAGAGTAAATGTACCGCTATTATCTAACAGTTTTATTACAGCTACATTTAATTATAATTTTTTATATTATTTGTGTGTTCACTTTGAAGCTCCAACCCACAATTTATCTGATAAAATAGCGCGTTCCTTTAAGGATTGCTGCTCGAAGAGTATTTACGAACACACACATTCACATACACATATGCACAAATTGCAAGCGCACTAAGCTGAAAACGCGCACTTTACGGCATTTAAACGCCGAACGCTGAAATTCTTGTCCACATCCGTGGTGCGTCCACACGCAACTGAGCCATAAGGCGCTGTGGCAGCCGAGCTGCAGCAATGTGTAGATACCACAGACAGCTGCCGCTGATAATGTACATATGCGAACTTGTAGATATATACAAATCTACGTATACTATATGGGATACTGTAGTTCATAGGAGCACTCATACACACATAAAAAAGCAGCTGTTACCAGTGGCTAGCGCAGCTTCTGAAGCCGCTTGACTCAACGCAGGGCTTTAAGATGCTTCTGGCAAAGAAATCTAGCCAAGTTCACATAATATATGCTATACACATACTATGTGTATACATACATACATATATGTGCATATAGCTGCAAACAGCTGCCCGTGGTTATATATACAGACACACATTTACCACTTAAAGCTTAACTAATTTGCCCTTTTTGCTTCACTTTCGTTTATTGCGTTTTGTTTTGCTCTCGTTATTCAGGTGGCGGAAGCTTTGGCATTTTCACGGCCAAAAGACGGTCTGTGTGGACGCGCGCATTGCAAGCTTTCGTTGTTTTGAAGTTATATGCAATCAGTATATAGTGTATATGCATGTGTGTGGCGTATGGTATATTTATCTTTTCAAACGGCATTTCATGCAGAAAGCTTGTCTCTTATGAATGAAAAGTTTACTACGCGTGAGTACACAGTGAGAAAAAACTGTAGGGAAGCGAAAGTTTAATATAAGCTTTCCATGCCGATTGTTCAGTTTGTATGCAACTATGGTATATGCTATAGCGATGCGAGGTATATTTTCTTGGAGATTGCTCCATTTTCTTAGACAATAACCAATGCCGAATTTTGTGAAGATATTTTTTTATACACTCGCAACAAAGTTGCTAAAGAGAGTATTATAGTTTTGTTCACATAACGGTTGTTTGTAAGTCCTAAAACTAAAAGAGTCAGATATAGGGTTATATATACCAAAGTGATCAGGGTGACGAGTAGAGTTTAAATCCGGATGTCTGTCTGCCCGTCCGTCCGTCCGTCCGTGCAAGCTGTAACTTGAGTAAAAATTAAGATATCATGATGAAACTTGGTACACGTATTTCTTGGGTCCATAAGAAGGTTAAGTTCTAAGATGGGCAAAATCGGCCCACTGCCACGCCCACAAAATGGCGGAAACCTAAACCCTAAAAAATGTCATAACTAAGCCGTAAATAAAGATATTAAAATGAAATTTGGCACAAAGGATCGTAGGGAGGGGCATATTTGGACGTAATTTTTTTGGAAAAGTGGCATGGCCCTGCCCCCTACTAACTTTTTTGTACACATCTCGAAAACTAGCTATGTCAACCAAACTGTATAGAGTCGTTCCTTTTAGGCATTTCCATATACAGTTCAAAAATTGAAGAAATCGGATAATAACCACGCCCACCTCCCATACAAAGGTTATGTTGAAAATCACTAAAAGTGCGTTAACCGACTAACAAAAAACACTAAATTTTACCGAAGAAATGTCAGAAGGAAGCTGCATCCAGGCCTTTTTTAAAAATTGAAAATGGGCGTGGCGTCGCCCACTTATGGACCAAAAACCATATCTCAGGAAGTACTCAACCGATTTCAATGAAATTCGGTATATAGTATTTCCTTAGCACCCTGATGACATGTACCAAATATGGGTAAAATCGGTTTACAACCACGCCTGAAATCTCGATTATCACTTTATCATGCGAGAGTATAAAATGTTCGGTGACACCCGAACTTACCCCTTCCTTACTTGTTAAATTAAAATTTCAATCGTTCAGTTTGTCTGGCAGCTATATACTGTAGTGGAACGGTAGTTCCGACGAAAGAGCAGCTTCTTGTACAGAAAAGGATGTGTGCAAAATTTTGAGATCGATATCTCAAAAACTTAGGGACAGCTGCGTATATAACGGAATTTTCAATAGCGGCGCCATAAAAGTAGACCCATAGGGTCGCAAACGGCGCCATATGTTTACCGCTTTTTTGATATTTCTCTTCGTTAATGTTTGCCATTTCATCATGGAAAGATATGCGATCCAACAACGAGTCGAAATTATTAAAATTTACTACCAAAATTCGTAGTCGGCCGCCTAACTTTAAGAGCGCTACGTTCAATTTATGGCCGTCATAATCGTACTGTCAGATCAACAAGTGAGCGTCTAGTGGAAAATTTTGAATCCACTGGCACAGCACAAAATGTTCCCGTGCCAGTGAGACAAAGAAGTGCCTGTAGTGTCGAAAATATTGCCGCCGCTGGCGTATCCATTGAGGAAGACCTGAAACAGTCGCTTACAAGTCGTTCTCAAGCGTTAGGCATTTCTGTGACGTCTTTCTGGTGAATTTTACAAAAAGCTCTTGGCCTACATCCATACAAGACGCAAGAACTGAAGCCGCTTCACCATCAGTATCGTCGTATGGCTTCGTCAAACAGCAAAGTATGTATTATTGGTTAGGCAGCAATCCACATGTACTCCATGAGTCACCATTGCATCCCGAAAAAATTACAGTTAGGTGAGGCTTATCGACCGGCGGCGTCATTGGGCCGTACTTCTTCCGTGATGATGAAGACTGGCACGTTACTGTGAATGAAACCACATATTTTTGGTCCGAATTGGATGATATGGACTTGGACAATGTGTGGCTCCAACAGGACGGCGCCACAAGCCACACAGCGAATGTCACAAGTGTTTTATTGAAAAGCAAGTTGGGTGAACGCGCTATCTCACGGAATGGTACAGTCAATTGGCCGCCGCGGTCGTGCGATTTTACGCCGTTAGACTATTTCCTGTGAGGCTACGTCAAGTCTATGGTCTAAACCAACAATACTTTTATAAATCTCTTATTGAAAAACTCGTTATGTAGTCAGAGATATACACAGCTAAATCGACTCAGCTTATAATTATATATACGAGTATATGGCGTTGCGAATCTTACGCTCAATAGGCCGATTATGTTGAACATTAGTTGAGCGAAGCGCTCGAAACACATTCTTAACAGAACGTAAGTTTTCGTCATAAAGTTGAACGATTTGTAAACGTTGTTCAGGCGTAAGTCCTGCTATGTTGAAATGTCAAACAATACTGAGCAAAACATAATATGACAGCTTGGCACGACTAACGAGTGAGCTGTCAAAAAAAAACTATTGAAAAAAGCACCTCTACTTGAATCCTCCGTTATTAGTGAAGGGTATTATAGCTACGGTGTAACGCTTTTTCTCGGTTTTTATTCATTTTATTTAAATGGTATATAAAATAATACATAATTTTACTTATTATTGATCTTCCTGGCACGACTTGGGGCGAATCGCCATAAAGATGTTTTCAGTAAATGATCTGTAAAGAAATATCAAATATATATACGATTTGAATTAACTTTAATGAGAAGTCAGGGAACTTACTCAATTCCGAAGCTGGAGAGACATCCTTGATTATACCACCAACTGCGACCTCGCACCTTCACACACACACTATTACTGGAAAATGTATCACCTGTGCCATCTGAGATATCGTTATAACCCCAAGGTTGCACCATTAATTTTACTAAATTGTCCACCGCAAAATCGTAATGCTCATCTTTAATACTGAACTCCTTAAAAATATTTTGTTTGCCTAAAACATAGTCGCGAACCATAAGAGCTTGCGGCGCTCGCTTTGTCAACACATGCAAACGATCTAAACCAATGAAGTAATCCGTGTTGGCACTTCCAAAACCGCGCTTGTATTCAAGCCAACTCCTTTGATAAATTTTTTCAGCACTCTGCGCACTTCCGCGCATTACTAAAGTCCAAGGGCAACAAGTGGTACATTCATTCATACAAAACACGTCGAACGGCTGAAAGTTTGGTAAGTTGATTTCATAAATTCCGGTAAAAAATTGAGGTCCACGCTGCTGCCACGCATCGGCACAATCACTATATACTCTGGAATTCTCTGGATACACTGGTTTCGACAAAATCGTTTTATTGCCTGCATCTTTTAGTTTAGAGCTAACTATCCTGTAAAGTAAATAACATCAGTAATCTAAATGAATAATATAATAGTTCCAGTGAGATGCATGCCATACAGCGAATAAGAGATAAGCTATGTCGGCTTAGCTGGACAAAATGGTGCGAAATCAGATGGATAAAAGGCACTTCATAAAGCACAATTAATGGTCGCAAAAGCAAAAGTGCACATTACTGTGAGCTCGGCCAAAATAGTTTAGATTTAGTTGCAGCGGCAATCAAGATAAAGTAGAAGGTTGAGCTAAAGAGCTACACTCAGTGGCAACATACCTCATTCTATGAAAAATTCAATTTTTGTTAAGTGATGAATTATTGCAGTCGAGGCTTTGTTCTTCGCTCCACTTATGGTCAACATAATCGGCGTACTGAGTGTACTATTCACAACAGCATCACCCATCTTGAGATCCAGCAAGCATTCTTGGATAATATTCGGCCGCATAGACAACGTGAAGTTGGCAGTGTAGAAAATAAAGCGCACTATCTTATTTGTGTACCCGAAGGCCGTTTATAGTCAATTCGGTATGGAAGGACTTTGCGCATTTACAACGAGATCTTAAATTGAAAGTGTACAAAATACAGCTGCTGCAAAAACTGAAGCCGCTCGACCTTCGCAAGCAACATCGCTTCGTTCTATGGGCTCTTGTAAAGTTCTAAAAAGGTCTGACGTTTTCGAGCCAAATTCTGTTCAGCGATGAGGCTCATTTCTGGCTCAATGGGTATGTAAAAAAGTTGCCGCATTTGGGACGAAGAGCAACCTGAAGAGATTCAAAAGCTGTCCTGTTATCCAGAAAAACAACGATTTGCTGTGATTTGTGAGCCAGTGAGCGTCGGTTCATATTTCTTCAAAAGTGATGCCAGTGAGAACGTAACAGTCAATGGTGACCGTTATCGCGCCATGATAACGCACTATTTGATGCCTGAAATTGAAGCACGGGATCTCGACGACACTTGATTTTAACAAAGCCCTTCCACTTCCCACGCATCGCATCAAACAATAAATTCATTGAGAGAACACTTCGGTGAGCAGATAATTTCATGTTTTGGGTCGGTCGATTGGTCACCAAGGTCGTGTGTTATCATAATGTTAGACTTTTCCCTGTAGGGATATATAAAGTCTAAAGTCTATGCTGACAATCTCGCTTCGAATCAGGCCTTGGAGTAAAACATGACGCTTGTCATTTTCCAGTTAATAATCGAAACGATCGAACGAATTATTAGACTCATCAGATGGACCATCTGAGAAGTTGCCGCGGTCAACATTTGAAAGAAATCTTCAAAAAATTTATGCCAAAAAATGTTCTTTCGAATAATATGAAACATTCCACATTTCCGTGTTTTTTCCGTAAAAAAGTAAAGAACCTCGAAATGGATCAATACTTACGTTTCGGTTTGCATCTCCGCTGAGCTTTTACCAGGTAAACCTCGAACTCGACTCCGGTCTCTAAGAAATAAGTAAAGAAATTGGTATTTATTATGCCAGGAAATATGAATAATTTTTTTTTTACTGTAATAAGTTTTCATTTCAATTTGTTTTATACTTACACTCCCTGTTTACTTAGGGCTGACTTCAAATTTGACCCCAATTCATCTAACCGCCGCTCGATTAAGGCGTGATTTCTAAAAAATAATACTAGTAGATTACAGTATGTTATAATTATAGATTCAGAACTATCTAGCTTCGATATTCGCTTACACTTGTTGAATATTTTCCGTGGAACTCAACTTGTTCTCTATTTCGCCCAAACGACCTTCCAATAATTTTCCAAGAGACTCGACTCTAAGAACAAAAAATATATTTTTAAATATGCTTACCAACATTAAGCTGGGAGCATAAAATAATATGCATATTATTATATTATTGTTCAATATTTTTACAACTTAATTAAATTTAGGTTAAATAAGTTCTTTCCGTTGGGTCACTGCTACTATATTGGTGTTTATCTTTTAACCTGAAAAACACGTACAAAAGCATTATTTCAATTGTAACCCAACTGAAGCTATAACATTTTCCATCTTTTTGGTATTTTGTGGATTCAATTCCAAAGAAATCAATCCAATTTTTGCAATCCAGTTCAAAGCTCGATTCTTGGATAGCATCACAAGATGAACAGTTTACAGTAATCTTATTTGGGCTTTGCGAGAAGGATCGAAAAAAGTTGGGTCCAGCAATGGGCAATACTTCGAGTAATGCATTAAAAAAACGGCGAAAACTTGGTGCCCTATTTTCTTAATCAAATCTTTGTCTAAAATATTTTTTGTAGTAGATATCAGCTATTAACTGACGATGTCGAAACTATGAGAACATTTGTAGTTCAGGGAATTTGTGAGACCCTAGTAAGTGCAATTGAAGGAATAAAGGTTTTAATTTTGAGTCCAGACATAAAAATTGGTTTGAAAAGTATTGGAACGTATTTGTGATTACTAAAACCGAATGCCTTAGGAACGATTCCACTTATGCGAAGACATTGACTCCCTTCGTCTCTTCTATAAACGCCACCACTATTAAACACATCGGAATATTTAAAATAAGGATGCGAATATTTTTTTACTCTTTCTCCTTAACACGTCAAATATTACTTCAATTGTAACCCAACTTCTTTTCCATCTTTTTGGTATTTTGTGGATTCAATTCCAAAGAAATCAATCCAATTTTTGCAATACTGTTCAGACGTAAATCGTGTTCCAGTGAGAGCATCGACAGCAGGTTGGTTAGAATGATAATTTCTAGGCAAATACCGGTCTGGCAGCATGACGCCGAGCATTGTCACCCGGTAGCTGAGTGGTATTAGTTATTATTATTATATTATTAGTTCAGTTCATAATCTCCTTTGTGCTTTGTCTGGCAGCCTATGTTATAATCAGATGAAGTTTCCAATCTTGCATTACATACCTCTTTATCCCGATAGATGGGCTATAAGGGTTATGTACTTGTAGTCGAACTATCTAACTGAACTGAATTGAATGCATGGCAGCAATCAAAGAAGTAATAGAAGGCTTGTTGGGAAAGCATCGTTCTAACAACTACGATGTTTTTGTCGCAAGGATGTTAAGAGCATTCTCGGGAGAAATGGGTTTTGTTTTTTGGTTTTTGCCAAAATGTTACAACTAAGCCAAAAAACATCAAGATAAGGAAAAAATTTAAAAGGTCAGAAAAAAAACTTTGAGGGTCTTACTATACTGACCTAATACCATCACCCTGACTTGAAATTTCTCACCCCCCAGACAATAATCCCAAAAATGTTCCACAGTGCTATTTTTCAAGCATTCGGGTGACTAGTAAACTTTATGAAACAATATTTTGACGTCAATAAGATCATTTTAGTTGAGTCTTACATTTTTTAGTTATAAGCGATATTAGTACAAACGCTATAATATCATTGTGTCTTAATCCACTTGTTCCATTGAATCTTTACGTGAGTGTTATGGATCGATGGGTTAACCTGACTTAAAGTTTTAAACCGTCTCTCCATTGACACTTTTATTGATTTTGGAAATTGCCATCTCACTTCGATGCTCACTTAGAGAACATGCGATGAAAATTTTGAACTTTCTTCCATGAATCAGATGGCTGATGTATATTAAATTGTTAATTGTTTCAAATATTTCCATATTTAAAAGATTTCACGCACTGTGATATAAGTGTGAGTAATATGATTGATCTTTTCAACATACTCTTTCAGGTATGTACTTTAAAGTATTTAAAAAAATCGCCGAATTCGAACAGATAGTAAACCTTATGATTAGCATTTGTAAGACAGAAACACAATCTGGCGTTCGCCATTACTGCCGAGAGACAATACCACATTTTTGTGTTGTTGGAAAGCTGAGATAAAACCAGGGCCTAGATATGCTCTAACCTTTATAGCCACTTCAACATTCTCAAAAAGTATTAGCAATATAATTCATTTTATGAAATAGTCGTAACTTAAGAACTAATAACACTCACATTTCTTCAATTTTCGCAACAGTCTTAACGGTGCTTTCTAGTTCCATCAATCGTTCTCCGATTTTTTCCATAACGGTCTGAACACTAAAGAAAGGTTATCAAAATCATGCTGCATTTTATAAAACAAATAATATAATGATATAACTTCAAAAAGAAACACAATTTTTGGCTAATTAGAGGACAAGTGTCTTAACAACTCTTTTAATAACATCTTATTCAAAAGTTTTCCACATTTTCCACATATATACCGATTATGGATTTTAGCGTTTCTTCAGCACTTTATTTGTCATTCCCTACCTTTTTAGCGTCTCTTCCATGCTATCTTGTTTGCTACTAAAAGCAGCTAAGCTGTTCACCACATTTCTGATTTCGCTCCCTGCATCTAAGAGTATTGTAAAAGGCTGCTCCGAATCATTATCCTTCTCTGCTTTCACTCTACCGACGCTTACAGTGAGCAAAGTAAGTATTAAGTAGCACAGACACCGTATTATTTCTTTATTCATCTCAAAACGCTCGCTAGTATTCGACTAATTTTTGCCTCGAACAATAAGAAATTCAATGGCAAATTGAGAATATGACGACGGAAGTACATTAGAGTTGAACTTATAGTATATTTTTATACCCGCGCACAATATTTCAATAACAATATTGTTATAACAACATACCATCAAAAGTGTTTGTAGAAGTAGACGTTTGTACTAGAATTTTCACTCAACTTCCATACAGGGACCTAACAAAGTTTCGACAGCCCTAAGCGTTCTAATGAAACTCAGTTCACACTCTATAAAAACCATACAATTTCAAAGATTTTCGACAGTCTCGATTTTTAAAGACCGCACATACATAGTTTAATCTGGTTTCGAACACTGTTTTCTGTTTCTGTCACAACATGTTCGAGCTAAGTAGTTTCTAATCGATAAGAGAGTTCTTTGGAAATATTAATATATGCATGCGTGTAAGTTTGTATGAATCAAGTCCACAGAAATAATATATCAAAACACATATAGTATTCATAATTGAACTGGATATACAGTGACACATATACGTATAAACGCACTCTTAGTTTTAATTTTGCTAACTTCTTTCTTTCTTTTCATTGCACTAATTACAACAAATTCTCTCTCATATTGTTTGTTAAACTAACGGAAATTCGTATTGAGTGCAAATCCCCACTTTTGTTGTTGTTGTTATATTTAAATCGTTGCATTTTAAATCAAATAGCAAAAACAGGCACATATTCGTTTAAACGCATCTGATTAGAGAAGTCAAAAACG